GTGACAACATCTTTTGGCTACTAACCAGAGTCCTCCTTTGTATTGATTCGGTCACTATTTCTGGCTGTCTAATTGCCCATGGCTCCTGTCCATGTTTCAAACTTCATTCTTCAGTTTTTCTCATCAGTTTTATGAGCTATCCAGTGGCATTTCAATATATCCTTTCTCTCTCTGACTAATAAAATGGGTCCCCGTTGTTTCAGAAACAGGAAATCTATCTGGTTAGTACATACCTCTCTGGGGAAGAAGAATTGCCTTTCCTATGGAGATACAAAGATGAGGGAGACAGGTACTTCTTTGTTCACTGTTCCTAAGTCAGGTGCCCAATTCTAGCTCAGAAATACCTGCTATCCTGACTTTGTGATAATCATTTCACTGCTTTGCTGTATAGACTTGCCCTCTATATGTATTCCTAGTCTAGTCATGGGGATGAGGATCATATAATTCAAAATATGGCCACTGTCATTATCAGCTTTGGCTCAACAACTTCCCTTAAAAAGAGGTAATACTAGACCTTAACAGCTTTTTTTTTTACTCATACAGAGCTGGGGTACAGGCCAGAGATGCGGAGGGTGAGAGGATTCACTAGCGACAGAGTGGGAAGCAGAACAGGCAGATCGAGGAAGTACACTGCTGAGGGGAGTAGCGGGCAGGTCAGGAGAGGCCTGCTGTGGGGATGGAGCTGTCACTGAAACAGCAGTGCCATTAAAAGCCACTTAAATATCATCAGAGCTATGGAGGACATAGTTGTAGATATGAACTGATTTGTATTTGGAAAATATCACAGTGACTGCTCTGTGACTAAATAGATCAGAATTGGGCCTGAGTGATTTCAAGACACTGAATTCTATCTATCTATTTATTTATTTTTGGGAATACTCTCAAAACCAAATCCTTGGAATCCACATCACACGATCCTTAGGTTAACATCCTCTATACTAGAGCTATTTATTTAACAAAATTATATTCAGATGCCTGTGGTACAACAAACATACCAGTTATTACTTATATATGTACATAAGATTTATTTATGCATATAAGAGCTGGAGTGCACAGGCCAGAAGTGTGGAAAGGTGTGGGGAGTGAGAGGAAGATTCACCAGAGAAGACACTGAATTTTAATGAAACTGATTTTTTTTTTTTAAGATTTATTTATTTGTACATACAGAACTGGGGTACAGGCCAGAGGCTCAGGGGCGGTGAGAGGTTTCACCAGAGACAGAGTGGGGAGCAGAACAGGCAGATGGAAGAAGTACACTGCTGAGGGGAGCAGCGGGCAGGTCAGGAGAGGTCTGCCACGCCATGTGGTCACCTCCGGGGCAGGCCGGGATCGAACTCATGCAGAAGTGGCTTTAGCTTCTCAGTGCAGTGCTTTAACCCGCTGTGCCACCAGGGAGGGCCAAAAACTGATTTTTAACTGAGCGCTTTAGGCATTCTTGCCTCCTCACTCACCACTAGTTAGGATATATATATATATATATTTTAAATCAGATGAATGAGTAAAAGAAGCTTTTAGATGAGTGATTATGAGCTCTGCAAAATGGCTCTCACCTTTTTATCTCTGTTGCAAATATCTCCCTCTTTGGTCATAGACTGCAATTTAAGTACACCAACTTGCTCTTTTAAAAAGTTAGGAAATAGGCCCTCCCTGGTGGCGCAGCAGGTTAAAGCACAGCACTAAGAAGGCAAAGCCACTTCCGCATGAGTTCGATCCCCGCCTGCCCCGGAGGTGACCACATGGCATGGCAGACCTCTCCTGACCCGCCCGCTGCTCCCCTCAGCAGTGTACTTTGTTGATCTGCCTGTTCTGCTCCCCACTCTGTCTCTGGTGAATCCTCTCACCCTCCACATCTCTGGCCTGTACCCCAGTTCTGTATGAATAAATAAATAAATCTTAAAAAAAAAAGTTAGGAAATAAGACTACAGAATCTCTGAAGGATGAGACCTGGACCAGTTAGTCCCTATGCCTCAATCTAGATAGATATCTACCATAAGAATCACCACACTGGTGACTCTCAGATTTACAGCTCTAGTCCACACCTCGGAGTCTTGCATATAACTGTATACCTAACCTCTCCACTTAGCTGTCTAATCAAGATCTCAAGTTAAAAACAAAATTCCTGATTTTTGCTTTCTGGGTCCTTTGTACAACTCAATTCTTCCAAATTGCTCACATCTTTTACTCCACATCTAATGTCACCACAAATCTTAAGAGCTTTACTTCTAAAATATCTCCAGAATTCAATGTTGATTTCCCTCTCCTCAGTTGCTACCACTGTGGCCAGGTCACTATCACTATATTCTAGAATATTGTAACAACTTCCTAACTGTAACATTTTTCACCAAACAGTACATATTTACTTTGTCTGACTCTTATATAAATCTCTGGGACACTAAGGACTGTGTCTTTCATTTAGTGTGGTGAACTTCCATGCTGAAGTACTTACTGAAATTGTAACAGGGTAGTCCCTAGGAAAAGGGGAAGTTCCAGGTTCCCTGCCCCACTCAAAAGGAGGGTGAATACTCAAAAGGAGGGTGGAGCTGAACAGAGCAGAGAAGGAATCTGAAGAAGGAAGCAGGATGAAGAACCAGAAGGAGACCTGAGGAATCCACATGGAGCAGTGACACAAGCTATGCAACATCTATCGTCCGACAGATTCTGGGTAGATCGGGATAAGCTCTGAAAAATCAGACTTTCCACTGCTAACTTATGTTATGACCTCCCTTTTTTGTATAATCATAATATTAAAATATTCTGAGCACCATCAGTTTGCAATTGGATTGTCTTAGCCACAAAAGGCTGCTGCCTGGTTCAGGCAAGCTGCCCCAGGGCGAGAAACTCCTCTGTCTCCTGAGACAGAAGGCAAGCTCAGGAGAGATAAGATCCCTTGGCATAAAAACTCCTGGGAAGCTTCCTTGGTTTCTTTGAATAAAAAAGCAAACCTCAGATAAGGCTCCCGGGGCATAAGGACTCATGGACAAATTTTAACCTTGACTACACAGGTGTTGTTTGATACACAACTGTACAACTTTCTCTTAATTTACTCCTTTTTAAAACAAGCACTAATTACTCTCTGCTAGCCTTAAATTTGCCATTAGCTTTTCTTTCGACAGTCACTGATAACACTGCTAACACAATTACTACCCCAAGACCCCTAACAACCTTTTGCTAACAAGCTCATTCTTTCCCCAGACATCTCTTCCTTTGAGTGATAACTAGACAGCTGTATACATGATAACTATCATAAAAACGTATAATCTAGCATACCATAAATTGTTAAAAGAAGAATGCTTTTTCCCCTTGTCCTTGAGAATGGTTTATGGTGCTATCTCATTAACTCACCCTATGCATTATTACAATTAACTACTTGCTCACCCTATGCATTATTACAATTAACTACTTGTTACACAGTATAAATAAAGACCTGCTGAAGGGATAGCAGGAAGACTTGCGCCCTATCCTGACTCCTGTATCTTCCTTGCGCCCGCTCCTCTCTCCCCTTTTGGAGTCTCCACTCACCGAAGCCATCCCATCATAGGGTCCTGCCTGTGCTGCCTCCAGATACCTCAAAAGTTGGAGCTGGTCTCCAACAGAGCAGAGAGAGACATGTGAAAAAACCATGCTTGTTTCTTGGTCCTGGACTGGTTGAAAGAGATGTAGGTGAGAGACTCTTGGGGAGGTTGACTATGGCAGTATTTATATTGATTTTGATTGTGCTCTTTTCCTCCCAGACTTGTCTGGCCATTTCTGACCCTTTTCCATGGGTCCCGGCCAGAAGGTGCTTTAGTCTTGTGACAGGCTTTCAGGCCTTGCCTTGGACCAGTCCCTTTTGGGTAGACTTTTAACCATGAAGGGATGGGTAACTTCAGGTGTTTGATTTAGAAATTATATTGTTTTCTGTATTACATACTCATTGTATTAAAGTTCCTTTCCATTAAAACTCTATGCCTTGTCTTGATGTGGCAGATGGCAGAATCTATTTAAAGCAGGTAGGTTTGGGGGTTCAGGGGTGCCCCTCTCTCCCTGCCCTGTAACAGAATGAACAAAATATTTTGTTTCACCACATACACAGTAATTCATTTAAGGAGATCCTTGGGTATATAAAAATTGATGGTAGATGAACTTGAACAAATTCAAAACTCTAAAATAAGTAATGAGTGGAAGGTGGGGCCAACTGTTAGAAACAGTTACACAAGTCCTCCCACATTCTCTTATCTACAGGTTTCCCAACTGAAGTGGCAGTCCCCTGTTTTTGGCCACTGAGGGTATACAGCTCTACCTCCAAACTGCACTTACTTCATCTTAGCTCAGCACTCAGTACTCCTCCTACCACAGGCAACAAGTGAATCACTGGGCTTTGACCCACAAGGCCCTAGGCCACTGGAAGACTCTCCATCACCCTCTCTACTGTATACTAGTAATTTAAAATCAAATATTGGAGAAGAAACCATCAGCGACTGAAATTTCAACCTGACTACCTGACTGATAAGGAGTAGAGCACACGGGACAGAAGGGCTATGCCTTTGGTGGGAAGTGAATTCCGCATCAATTGCCCCCATCCCAACTGAACAAGTCCTGTTCGCATTATGGGGGACAAAGATAGAGCCTTGAGGAAGAGTCAAGATGAGAAGGGAGTAAGAAAGCACTTTCTTAAGCCAACATGAAGGCGGAGGGTTTACAGGTGAGAGAAAGCCACGTTCGTTAAGTCTTGCTGAGCCAGAAAACAAGAGGCCCAAAGAGGGTAGGAAAGGCGCCTTTGAGACCCCATCCAAGATGGCGCTGGAGGTTACTAGCGGAAGCGCAGAAGGCCGTAATCAGCCTATTACCCTGATCCAACATGGCGGTAGCGACCGAGGCGACCCGCGGGCGCCGAGTGCCAGGAGCGTCTTTGCCCTCCTCCAAGATGGCGGCCGCCGTGGGCGCTGTCCCTGGCTCCGCCCCAGGCCTTGACCCCGCCTCTCCCTCGTCCCTCCCTCCGCCCCCTCGCGGAGCAGAGTTCGAGCGGCGGTGCTCGCGCAGGGAGAGCGGGCTCTCGGCGCTTGACATGGCGGCGGCGGCGGCGGCGACTGCAGCGACGAAAGGGAATGGGGGTGGCGGGGCCCGGGCCGGGGCCGGCGAGGCCGGTGGCGCGCGGAAGAAGAAGGGCCCGGGGCCTCTGGCCACGGCGTACCTGGTCATCTACAATGTGGTGATGACGGCGGGGTGAGGCTGCGTCCCGGGGAGGCGGGGAG